TGCCCGACGTAAGCCCATTTTTTTTTTTTTTTTTTTCCGTCAAGGTCTTTCGGCGTCCTTTCCTCCTTAGGGCGTCTTGGGTGTCGTATCCTCTGCTCACCGGACCAGCGAAGATGATCGACTTTCGCTTCCCGGTATCCTGACAGTGTTTTGACTGCGTCAGAACCTCCTTGCGTGGTTTGCCGCAGCCTTCGTACACTAGTAATGCGTCTAGTCTTTGGGAGTTGAGGAAGGGTTTCTTCCTGACGTTTGGAGGTGCTTGACTTTCTTGGTCTTGGGCCGCTTAGAAAGGGGTGACTGTACATCGATGTCCTGGCATGAGAAAACGTTGTTTTCTCCTGCCCATACCAAACGGCCCAAATCCAGGCCGTGCCCGATGGTTCCATATCGAATTTTGTCCCTCTTGAGGAGGGGTGGAAGGATGAGCGGGGAAGCACAGAGGATATCCTCTGCTCGTACAAATCGTTCTGACTCAACTACGTGTGGTGTAGAACACAACGAGAAAGGCATTAAGTAACATAACGGGTGGTAATTGTTAGAGAACTTGTCAGATTGCCTTCTGTCCCCCTTCCAAATTGTCTCCCGGCTGGAACCAAGAGCTCATTGCTGACGTGAAGTTGTGAATCTTCGGTCGTCACGTGTTGTAGTAAGCTCAAGTGCTTGTGGACCGTCGCGCGGTGGTTCGTACACTTGAAGACTTCTTTCTGAACATATATAGTATGCTGGGCCCCTACGGGCTCTGCAGTAAGGTGGCGTTGTCTTCCTTAGTCGGGCGGAGGTGCTGCTTCACCAGCTGCCAACCGACGTAGGGCTTCCTTGACTGCCTGTTTTGCCGCATTTCCACGTAGGGCAGTACAGGGGCAGCCGGTCCCGCCGTGGAGGATGGTCTCGCACTTCTTGCAGAGGGCGATTCCGCGACGGACAGCTCCTCCGTTCCGGGCAGCTTCTGCTCCTCCAGTCTGCGTGAGCAGGAGTTCACTTTCTTGTCCGTGAGCTTGAGGTGAGCCAGCCGCTTTCATATCCATCGCGAGAGTGTGACATAAAGTTGGCATGGGCTAGGAGCCTGGAATGGCAATTGGCCCGAATGATGCGCAACTTCTTCACATAGTATTCGATGACCGTGGTGGTGGGTTCCATCACTTGGCTGGACGACAGCTGTAATGAGATGGTCAAGGAAGTGCTTTGTAATACTTGATCTCCTTGCGGTTGAGTGTGGCGCATAAATCCCTCGCTACTACAGGGGTCGGCGAGGCTCAGTAGGGTAGTCGTTCCTGACAGGATGTGTGCGTTGTTGCTCGATGGACTTCGTACAAAGGTTGTTGTTCCTCCATTCTCTCTCACATCTCGCTTGGAGTTTCCGTAGGTCTTCGTCGTTCTTAGGCAGGCTGAGGACTGAGTTTCTGGAAGGCTGCTTGCCACTTGAGGTCGGGGGCACCTCCTCGTCGTCGACGTTTGGCGACTGACGGCGGCGAAGAGAGAATCTCTGATTTCGCTGGTTTACATCGTCGCGTTCACAGGTCTGTGTCTTACCTGGTAGGGACAATACATCTAGCATGGTGTTGCCCAATGTTTTGTGCCGTTCGCGGACTGATTCCTTCTGGGGCCAAACCTTTCGCAGAACTGCCGTGCCCTCCTTGATGGGGATTTGTAGATCGCATCCTTGTCCTTGGTAGACGGGCCTTTCCGGCGAGCATGGTGGTGGGCCGGCTGGATTGCGTACCACTCGACTATTGGCGGGCTCAGGGACTTCCATCCGCCGGATCTCGTCGGGGGCCGGGGCGTTGTCAGCTGTATTGGCGAGTTCGGCACTCACCACTCCCAGGCTTCGGCATCCGTGCTGCGGGCACAGGAAGAATCCTATCGCTGGCGAATGGCTGCATCTTGCGCTGTTCGTGACCACTCCGTATGCTCCATGACCCCGTTCACTACCCGTACCAAAAGCGGGCTGGTTGGACTGGATGGTATCCAGGGGAGAAGCTGGGTGTCGGCGGAGCCGTACCTTCGCCTGTCCCCGGGTGCCTATCTCGGAGTCCTTCCTGGCGAGCCTTGGCCGCCAGGGCTTGTTCAACGCGTCGCTGACACCTCTGCTTCCTGCTTGTATTTGGCGGCCTCAGCGGCCTTCGCTCGTTGTGCTCCGGCTGCCTCGTGTTCACGTAGAGCTTCTGGACGGCCATCTCAGTGGCTCGTTCTTGCTATAGTTTGCTGCCGCGAGCCGCTTTTCTTCTTGGGCGACTTCCTCCTTAGCTCGTTTCCTGGGCGGCCAGCTCCGAGATCTTTTCGGGCTCTCTCTGCCTCTTCAGCGAGCCTTCGGGTGTTTTTCTTGCGGGCAGCGATCTTCTGAATGACCCGGGATGGGGGTGCTGAAAGATCCGCCGGTATCGCTCGAGAAGGTCCCGGCGAGGCCGGGGGCTTCTTCGCCTTCGAAGAGATCGACCCTCCACGTCCCTTGGTGCTTCCACTCGAAAAAGCTCGTTTGGCGTCAGGCATCCCATGTTCACGGTTTCCACCGTGATCCCGGAGAGCGTTCGGCGGGTTCCTTCATGGAGCGCGCTTCGCCTCAGCTCGCTCTTTGGCTTGAAGAGCGGCCGTTTCGTGGGGGGACAAGGCGGTACTAGCGATTCCGTCAAAGTATTTGTCATTGCGTCTAAGCACCCCTTCAAAGGAGTACCCCACCTGGTTGGACCGAGTAGCTCCTCGTGTGACCGGCTCGGTTACACTCGATACCACGGTCACTGAAACAAACATAGACGGTACCTTTCATGACGAATCGGGCTCGACAAAACATCTCCTTGCACACCACTCGGCCGGTGTGCAAAACGCCCCATCTCCGACACCGGACCCTAGAGGAAGTCACACTGTGTGACCCGACGCTGGCGTCATCAAACTCTAAGTCCATGCTTACTTTTCTTCAGAGTAAGTTTGGACGAGGGAGGCGGTCACTGTCGGGCAGCAGATACTTTTTCAGGTTGCGGACGCTCACACTAATTACCCCCAGTCAAAAAGGAAAATTGGTGTCGGCGGCTGCAACTCTGGTTCAGAAAAAGGAACCTGATTTGTAGCCGCCCATTAGTAGTCCTTCTAGCTAGTCATCAACACCACATAGGCACACCACCTGTGCACCCGACACTTCGGTCCACCACCTCATCCTTGGATGAGTGGCTCTCCCGGATTCCTGTCCGTCAGTCTCCTTATGGTCGGCTCCCTGTTAACTCATACTCTCCGTTCTGTAGAATCTCTTCATTCCCTGTCTGGGAAGGTGGGCGCAGAACGATCACCGTCTACGAGAAAATGGGGAAGTTTTCGGTAGTTTGGTGCCATGCATGCGTGTCTTTCTGGCAATAATTTCTTGACTCGCCTTTTTCGGTGTGTCCATGCAGCGCAAGAGTTGGGTATCTCTTTTAAATAGTACCTCCCGATTTAGTAACAAAATACATATTTCACCGACTCGACTCGGGAGGCGTTTGACGTTGACGATGATTTCGCACCTGTGCTCACTCATATTCTAAAGTGGACTGTTCAAACGTTCGATCCTTGTGGCTGGAGGGAGATACTACTGTATTAGCCCACAAAAGCTGGTTAAGGGAAAGCATACACGTAGCTCCAGCGGCACTGATTAAGCTGTTGTGCGTAGCTAATGCCTCAAATGAGTGTCTGCTAGTAAAATTTTGTTCTACCGCTTGCTTGGATTTTGCACAGAGCTTCACATGAATCGTCCAAGTGCGCCATAAAGCAGCTTCTTTGCACCTTCACGTCGTTGAAGACGGACGGGGCGGAATCGCTTTGGTGATAGACTGGGACCAGACAACTTGCCTTTGTTGGACTGGACGCAATGAAAGTCCCGGACTTGAGTTTCGCCATTTCGCCTTCTCCTGCGACAACGTTGACAAAGCGACCAGAGCCCTTCTCCAACGAATTGGCCATACCCAGCCACACCATCATCTTGAACATGCATTACTGGGCTGGCAAAATCAATCCGAGGATCCGGTAGGTTTGCTTGGGAATGGGAGTTCGTACCTTTGTACTTGTAACCGGGCGGGCAACATATGGCTGGTAGCTTTTGAAGGCACAGCCATTTATCCAAGTACTTGCTTGTCTCATCCTTCTGTCGATGAAGGAAGCCATGTTGAAACGAATACCAGGAAGAACTTGCTTGCCTCCAGTTGAGATCTCGCTGCTCGCCAAAACAATGCGACAACCTCTGTTCAACGCCTGTTTGCTTAAAGGCGATGGAGACGGGGATTGACATTCACTTGGACCTGTTCAACCATGTCGTTCTAGGGCTCCTGGGAGGGGGGGGTTCTCTTTTGCTGGCGGATCCATCGAAGAAGACAAACTCAAGCCTGTCTCGACTGACAGAAATCTTTCTCTACGGGGGCAAGCCAGATGCCTTCATCGTGTCTTTGCCAATGCATGCTGGCTAGCTAGTGGTGTCTTTGCCAATGCCGCTTTTTGCTGGAAACCACATCAATCAGATGAGTTATGTTCAAGCAAGAACAAGACGAAACTATCTAATTCTAAAGGTCATGCCTCACCTCCCGTCACGAGATACTTCACGACGATTGCTTTAGTACGTTATGGCTTGATATTTTGGTTTGTGACAAAACCTTGACTGTATCAAGATGATGTTACCTCTTCTTTTCAGCGGCTGCTACTACTCCACCATGACAGGCTCCTCTTGTTTCGATCCTACGGTACCGGTAGGCTGGCAACATCGGTCGCGAGCTTCTTCCATTCGAAGACATCTTTCTTCTTCCGTTCAACACATCATTCACGTTCTACGTTGGGACACCCCGGCATGACGATGACACAAAGCCTTTGCCACTGATGAGTGACAGCCAGGAAGCAGCCTCCGACAATCAACCACTGGTACGGTACCTTTGCCGACGGTCGTTCCACAGTTTGAAACGAAACGGCTATCAGCAAGGAAGGACGCAAATTTTCTATCGTGTTTTCAGAGGCTCAAACGATGGCATTGACGATGCAGATGATGTTGATCATTATAACTCTCTTGTTAGTTAGGCTTATTGTACCATTGATTGGGTCCACAATGAAGAGCTTTTCGTCCCTGGGACTCCGGAACCAATGTGATTGAATTGAATGAAGGGCTGAGGGCAAAAGGTAAGCCATCAGATGGAGTCCGCAAACAGGAGTTTGGAGTCCGCAAACAGGAGTTTGGAGTCTGCAAACTGGAGTTTGGAGTCTGCAAACTGGAGTTTGGAGTCTGCAAACTGGAGTTTGGAGTCCGCAAACTGGAGTTTGGAGGCCGCAAACTGAGACGTCATTTTGATTTTGATTTTGATGTTGACACCTTGCCGATTTTGAGTTGGTCTTGCCAAAGTGATTGAAACGATTTGCATGAAACGACGTTCGTTGCCTCAAGCAAAGCTCTTTTTCTCTCTCAACTCTCAAACACAACTCACTTTCTTCTTCCATGCATGACGATGACACCTTTTTCAGTGATGTTTTACCGTAGTAGTTCGGAGTTCTTTTGAACCTTGAGAAGCCGGCGGGGTCAGTTCTCCGGGGCTGTCCTCCTTGGTATCGCTGAACGTTGGTCCGCTGGGAAAGGTGTTGTCTTGCGGTGGTTCCAGCTAGAGATGGAGCGTACTCGTACAACGTAAGTCCAGGTGTTCCTGTCTTCGTGTCATTGTTTGCTTGCTTTGTTTGTTCCACGGTCTTCGACCAATCGTTGCCGCCTCATCCCCTTTAGTTCCCAACGTAGGTCTGCTCGATGTTGACAATGGCGCCGCGGCCGTTTCTTGTTCCAGTCTCATTGCGGTGGTGTCGTCGTGGTGTCGCTGCACGTTTGGAAGGTCTGGCTTAAACCGTCGAAGCTGTTTGAAGCACGCCTTCTCCTGCACTTTTTGGCAACGGGTCCTTTCAAGGTTGATCCCTGACCCTCGCAGCTGGTGGCACGTTTCGAAGCAATTTAAACCGTCGAAGCTGTTTGCTCGCCTTCCTCTTGGCCGCGGGTTCTCTTGTGAGGTTGGTGCGTCCTCGTGCAAGACAACGGTCAGGTCTCGCAAATTGGAGTTCACTGTTGGTGGTTCCGGTTGCATCTCACTGTTGGTGGTTCCTGTGACATTAGTAGTTCTTTGCTCTAACGAGCCAGCATTCGTGTTGGAAGGGCTGGGGGGCACTCGGAAGGGTGTTCCTCTGTTGCTTCGCTGAACCAAAGTGGCATGTTGGAGGTTCCTGTTTGGTGGTTCCTGGCTGGCTGTGTTCCTTTTGGCTGCTCCTTTTGGCTGTGTCCCTGTTGGCTCTGTCCCTGTCGGTGCTTCTTTGTCCCTTGGCTCTGAAGGTCCTTTTGGCTGCTCCTTTTGGCAATTGTTGGTGGTTCCTGGCTGTGGCTGTGTCCCTGTGGGTGCTTGGTTGCATTTGAGTTCTTTGTCCCTTGGATTGGTTGGTTGGTGGTGGGCGGAATTAGCTAGCTTAAATCTCACACTTGTCTCTTTTTGGCCCGCCAAAGCTAAGGTTTCCTTGGCACTCACACCAACCCTTTTCCCTGTCGGTTGGTGGTACGGTCGGGTTAGCAGCAAATTGCCCGCCTGCCTGGGTTGCCTGCCTGGCACCCGTTGTGGTAACTTTCTGGTTGCTTGGATTGGTCTCTTTCTTCACCCTTCCAGCTCCCTTCACCCTCGGACCTCGGACTCTCAGCTCTCAGAATGATGAACGATCTTCAGAATCATCGCTTTGGCAAGGTCTCCTTCTCCAGAATCACACTAACACAGCATTTTTGTTCTGTTGTGCAGCTGGTCCTCGGCAGCACCCTTCTTCTTCTTTACTATTCCAGTCTATTCCTTGACCCAGTTAGCTTCTAGACTCTAGAGACTTCAGTCAGCTTCTTCCGAGAGAACGAAACAGAGGCCACTTGGCTAGCAAGGCTGCGGGTTGTGTGTGTTTGATGACATGGTTGGGCACACGGCCCCCGTGGCAGCCAGCCTGGCTGCATTGCTCCTTTCTTCACTTGCGCCGCTTGCTTATCCCTTCTACTAGCTACACCGTAGTATTTGGCTTGCGGACGGCTTTGCATCTCAAAGGTTAACTGGTTGCTTGTCTGGTGAAGCTGTGGCAGGTCGTTGCAACAAAACAACAATTTGAAAGTACGGTACCGGTTTGACCCTTGATAGCTTCCACTGGCTAGCTAGGCGTACCGTACAAGTGGAAAGCCGTGTCAGGGGAGTACTAAGAAAACCTTCATGTGAGTGGCCTGCAATCAGTGGCGAGCTGTTTCGGAGGTTGACTGGATAAAGAGCGTCCAATAGAAGATGGCGTGGGAATAGCTAACCTGTCCGAGTCGAGTCAAGGACCAGTTGCTCCCACTTGGCTTGGATCAGCATTAGCTACCTGCACTTCCGGTGCGAACTACCTAGTACTCTACATCTTTATCTCTCTTCGCCTCCAGATTATCTAGCTAGTGGATAAAATTGTAAGGTTAGGGGCTTTCGTCGGCGCGTTGACTACTAGCAAGCTAGAGCCAAGGTTGCAGCCCGATGACCAAGCAAGCCTTGTAGTGATGGTTGCAAAAAGGATTAAGGGTGGCACCCGAATCAAAGTAACTAGTTGATACTAACTAGCTATTTGAGTAGATAGAAGTGTAGTTTTGGATAACAAATAAATGATCTATGCGTTAATATGAGTGCTGGTTGGAGGCAGGAGATGAGATTCTATTGTGTGTGTGTTTCTTCTTTCGTCGTGCTGATTCTGCTTATTGAACAGCCTGAAGAGCTCTCAGTCTCTCTTCTCGTTGTTGGAGGACCTTGTTGCGCATTCCCAAGACGTGTGCTGCTTTGGTCTTGCAGAGACGTTCTCGGACTTTGGGGCTAGTGGATCCCTTGGTCGAGTCCTTGCTAACGGTGCGTCCAATGCGCTTCTTGTTCCACTTGCGGATTTCACGCTCGAGTTCAATATTGTCATCGAAATCATCGGCAGTCAAAGACTCTCCCGTCAGTGGGCACAAGGCGTTTCCTTCGCCAATGAGTTCCATGACGGCGTCGTGTTCAAAGCTGTGTTCGGTGTATCGGTGTTGCACAGGGCGAGACATGATGGCATGAGTCAAAGGGCAGATGAAATGGGCTGGGGTGGTAGAGACAGTCATGGTGATTTTGTGTTGAGTTAGTTGGAGTCGAGAAAGGTTTGTGGGATGCTTTTGTTTGTTGGTTGTTTGGTTGATTGTGAGATCAATTTTATGAGAAAGATGATGGAGGAGGAGAGGAGTGCTAAGCAAGGTCGGAATTTTCTTCCTGCTTTCTGAGGATCGATGATCCTGGATGGGTCAATGAAAAGAGAACCGCGTGGAGCTCTTACTAGTTGGTACGTGGTCCTGTTGCTACTGGTACGGTACTACTGAGTAGTTAGTCTGCATGGCTACTGGTGGCTGCTCGAGTGCTGGTAGGCTGCTACCTGCTACCGGTACCAGGTAGAGTAGCTGGCCACTTGGTAGACTACTTGGTGACTGACGGCGGCCTACTGCCCGTCTCTTTATTGAGCTTAGGTGGCACGTCGATGGTCAGTTGCCTACTACGATAAGCAATTATTATTGTTTGATACTCGAGTAGCTGTTTGATAGTGGCCAAACCATGTTCCTTTCTGATTCGGTTCTAGGATCCGACTTAAACACTGCTCAAAGAATGACCTTCTTTCTAGTCCACTATACAGATTTAGGTACAAAGAAGGTGGTGGTAGGCCAAAGAAAATAGAACTTTGAGGTCAAGCCAGTCTTGTTATTGACTACTTTATACTGAAGATTGTATAGTCAATGCAAGCCACAGGCCTATCTTCCCCTTGCCAACTCAGTTTTATGGCTTTTATGAAAACATCCAAGATACAACACAAAATCACCTAATTCGGCAGGCCCCTTTGACCACTAGCTTCCAACCCTTCCTTGATCGTAAAGACCACGTCGTGCAGAGCCCTTAACAAATCACAATAGTAGTTATTCTTTCGGTCACTGGCTGTTCTGTGGACATCTCAGAAAGTTCCACAGAAACTTTCACGAGCTCGAATTAAGGTCACCCAAGATTTCGGCTACTAACCGAGCCAATCACGCGGAACGTGAAGAAAGCCCGAAGAAACCAAAGAAACCGTCTAAAAGCTCCTTGGTGAATGCGAACATTGATGGCGGATTCATGGGCCACGCACCACGCACTTATTGTACATGTCATTGTGCTATCTAGTACGTACCTAGTAGCAGCTAAGGTAGCTTTGTGTTATTATTACTTGGGGTTTGGGGTTTGGGACTACGATTAGATGATGTACTGTACCGGTCGAGGAAAGAGGAGCGGTTTCTGATACAGCTACCGGTACCTTCTGATGCCGGTGACCACCGGCCGGTTTCCACCAAATCCTACCGGTACCAACTGGATCCTTGGCCACATCTTTGGCCAGCATTCACCACCTTTTCACTAGCTAGCCCAAGAGCCAGCTACCCGTAAACGCCAAAGGTGGACTGCATGTACGCATAGCTGGAAATGAGATGGGACCTGCAATTTTCCTTTCTTTTCTTTGCAGTCTTGTCGTCTTGTCCCGGGGAGGGTTTCTAATGGAGCGCACGTGGTGTGGTCTGAGCGTCTGAGCCCGCTTGACCATCTTCGAGTACCTACGAGTACATGTACCAACAGGAACAACAAGCTTTGGCAAGTAGTGGCTAATCATCATCATCTATCTGCAATCTGCATCTTTTTGCCCGGCCACCGACCGTGGGGACTACTTACTTAGACGAAATGGTGCGGCTCAATAGTTGGCAACCACAGGCCAAGCGTAACCTGGAACAAGGACGATTCGATTCGATTCGGACCGATTGGATAACGACCATTACAAGCTTTTGGGAAACGGGAGACCAGTAGCCCCTTTCATGTGGGTTGCGTGTGCTCTGTTGTGGTTGCGCCTTTCCCAGATGCATCATGTTTCTTGCGGGTCGAAACCAACCGGTTCAATCCCTCCCCTCCGGCCACCAGTAGTAAGGGTAGGGATGCAGCAGGCAGGTTTTAGGTTTTAGTGCTGAGAAAGCTTTTCTTTGCACCTACATGTGGCTTTCTGGCCCGCTACTAGTAGTTCTAGAAGAAGCAAGCAGACCATTCAACCTGCCTACCGGTACTCATCAGTACCGGTAGCTAGATCTTTCAGCTGCCTCGCACAAGGAGCGCTCCAACATAGACTTCGGTCCCTACTTGATCACAAGTCACTCGTGGGACCGGATCACCTTGCTGAGATTGACATTTCCGTTGGCGCTGGAGCCAAGGATTAGAGTTTTGGGGGGCGTCTGCCAGCTTGTTAGCTGCAATACTGGACCACTAGCTAGCTTACTCTTAACAACTTCTCCCTGTGTTCAAAGCACACATGCATGCTATGCATCAGAGCTTGGCATCCTTCAGCCTTATCCTGGTTGCATTTTTGCTTCACGGTACCAGGTACCGGTGGTAACTGTGGCGGAGGGTTGCAGCTCAATGCCTCAAAGCTACTGTTAATAGCTAGTATGTGGGCGTCGCATCGGGGGTTGCTCAAATTGTTCGGTCACACATCGAGACGTGCAACACGAAATGTTGTGGGAGTAACATTGGAGTCGCCCTCCTGAGCGCACCAAGCTTCTCCTCAACTGTCGCCAAATGGCTCCGCGCAACCTGGATTAGACCTCAGATAGAACCCAACGCATCCATCATTCGTTTGCGCCCAAAGGATCCACCGCAAAACAACAACGGCGACGACGACAACAACAACAAAATCACACCAAGCAAGATGGGCATTGAGGACTTGAATACCCGTACTCTCTCGACAGAGTATCTGTTCGAAGACCCCGAGAAGTTTGTGTCGCAAAAGCAGTACATCAAGTTCGAAACTCTTCAAGATGTGGAAACCCGTCGTCGAAAGATCTTGAAGCGTAGCGAGCTCCCCTTTTGGAGGATCTTGGGATACTTCGAAGGGACTTGTCTTCGAGCCATGATCGTGGATTGGCTTTTGTGGGTCACGTTGGCCGTGTTTTTGTCGCTCCGTGTTGTGCTCCGTCTCCAGGGGGGCAAGAACGAAGCCTATCGGTACAGCTTTGGCAGCATGATGGACCTCGGTGATACCGATATCAGCGTTATTGGTGGATTCTTGTCGTTCTTTCTGGTTCTGTTTGTCAATCAAAGCAATTCCCGCTTCTACGAAATGTACAAGACCAGCCAAAAGTGTCCTTCGCGCATCTTCGATGTGGCGCAGATCTTGATTCCGCCTTGCCACAAAAAGAACAAACGCGATTTGGCCGCTCGAGTGATCCGTTATTTGAACGCGGCCCACGTAGCTGGATACGTTGGCCTAAGCCGCACCTATTCCAAGCCCGAGTTTTTTGACAGGTTGAACAATCAGCATCGATTCTTGAGCCAGCAGGAACTGAAGCGCATTCAAGAGCTGGACATGGACCATGGTCCCACCGCCTTTCACGAATTGGTGACCTGGGCCATGATGGATATCGAAACTGCCTTTGAGGAGAATCTTATCGACGCCCGTGAAAAAAGTGCTCTCAAGGAGAAGACGACACAGTTTCGTGAAGCCATGGATGAATTGTACGCGTATTGTGATCAACCCATTCATTTCTTTTACATTCACTTTTTGTGTCTCTTGAGTGCAGTATACCTGCCCTTGTTTGCCGCAAATGCTGCCTTTGAAGCAGGAACGGGGGGCGAGACGCACTGGAGTTGGGATGTCTTGTCCTTTCTGGTCGTCCTGGTTCAAGCCATTTTTGTCATTGGATTGCGTCTATTGGGGCAGGTAAGTGAGCTGCAGAGAAAAAGATGAATACGTTACTTGTATGTAACACTGATGAGCATCATTTTTTCTTTGTTTGACTGCCTGATTGCTCGACACTACGCAACAGAAAATGGTGGACCCCTTTGGCGATGACGTGGAAGACTTGAGTGTGATGTACTACGTTACGGAAACTTGGCAAAAGAGCAACCGAATGCTGGCTGCTAGTTACCCCAGTGCCGTGTCCCCAGAGACGGAAGAAAAGCTTCAGAAAAGCCAATCAGTTTCCCTCGGACGAGGCTTTGGAAAGAAAACGTCAACCAAGAACATGGGAGTCGCGCCGCAGCAAAAGGAGCAACAACAGCAGCTGCAAGAGGACGCTGCAAGCACGGCTCCTACCGAGCCAGACTTGATGGAATAAACACGGGAGAAGCAACGGGAGAAGAGAGCTTCGTGGTATCAGGCAGCCGCAAGAGGAAAGGCAGATAGAGATACATACATATTGACAATCGCAGTGCGTTGAAATGGTTCATTTAATTGTTTGATCCAAGGCCCCATAGGATGCGATTGTGTGCCCCCAAGACGACGAAGGCACTCATCCAGCCAAGGGGGAACGAGAATAGGAAGCTAAAAAAGAAAAAAGTACATGTAATGACGAGCACTTTAGGCGAATTTTTGCGAAAGGATACATCGAGTCACATGATTGTATTCTCCATGAGTAGGTCTTGTAGACTCGATCCAGCTCTACCATCATTGTCTATCCGAAAAAGTGTACCGAGGCCGCCCTCATCCAGTCATTTGCCGAATCATCATTCTTGGTCAACTTGCGCTTCTTGGGCTCTGGCTCAGTGTCATCGTCATCATTGTGGGAAGAGATCATTTTGGTGGGAGCTTGAACCTTCTTGGTTTATGAATGCAGACAATCAAAACAAGTGAGGGAGCAAAGCAAAGCAAACATCAAGCTAATGACTGGTACATCGATGATACACTTGAAAACCAAACATGACAACCTCTCGCATGTGTATGTCTTACTTACCGGTAAAGAAGTGAATTTGAGCCACATGATCGGATTCTCCAGGAGTAGCCCAAATGTGATGTTGACTCGATCCAAATCCGAGTAATTCGGCTGCTCCTGCTGAGCCCTCGTTAAGATTACAACAAAACAATCCCAGTCTGTGATCTTCTGTAGCAATCCTCTTTCATGTCGATTCAGTGTTGTGTAGTAGCCCAGCTGACCTTTGCTGGGCAGCTGTTCGCTGCGGTACTGCACGCTCCGAAACTCGGCTGTCTCTAGAGTTGCATTTGCAGTCTTGAGAATGTCGACAAGGCAATCTTCGTAGGTTTGAACCAATGCTGGATCCTGGTCATTGCGATAGGCAAAGTTTTGGAGGGTCTTGTTGGTCTTCAACACTTCCAGAACAACCTGCAGACTAAGCTTTTTATTGTTATTGTGGTGTTGGGTGATGAGAATGACCAGGTCCACCAGAGTGGTGTCTTCCTTTGCCAAGAGGTGACAGATGGTTGGAGCTGCAATTTGTAAACCATCTGACGAGAGGCACAGCCGCAGATTGACCAGCTGAGGCATCAATGCCACTGAATCTTGTAAAAAGCTCACCGCCAGAGGATTTGTCTCGGGAGAAAAATTCAACACAACAGTAGAAATTGCACAGTTTTTGGACAATGCCTTGTAGGTTGGATCATTCAAGGAAGGCAACTCTTCTTTGTGTGGACCAGCAGGGTCGGGAAAAGCACCCATGTTGAGGACAGTGAGTTTTGGATTGCCGAGAAAGTACTTGACAAGTTGCAGGAATGCTGTGGGTTCCCATTTTCTGCATTTGTTGGTGTTGAAATACTCGAGCAGCCCTGCTGACCACATGGCAGTGATGCAATCTATATCCAATGCTGTACGGAGCAAGGGAGATGGATCCGATGATCTTCTGACAAAGAACCGTTGCCCTGGAGGGATACGAATCATAGGGCAAAATATGTCCTCATCGAATAGTAATGTGTGTTTGTCTCTGGAGAATGGTTGTGCCGCATATTTTTGAGCGCACAACCGAAAGACTTCCGTCATGAGTTTTAGGGAATACTTCCATTGCAACAGGCAGCGGACTGGGATGGAAATTCTGATTTCTGGATAAGATGGGGGCCGCGTCAATGCGGTGGGATTGGCTTGTCCTAGAGCCAGAATATCGGAATCTTCCGAGAAAGGACAATTTTCTCCTGGACCTTGCTGCAATGCCACCGTCAGCAGACTCATGCGTTTCATCATACAACTACGTACAAAAGGGTGGCGCTTCATAATTCCAAATTCAGGACCCACTTGTTTGACAAGGTTGGGCTGTTGGGTAACCAAATACTTGATGACGCCAGGTTTGGCACCATGAGTACAAAGGTTCAGCAACAACCCAGCCGTCAGAGCAGAGGGGTCATCATGGTAAATATTCTGGACAGTCTCCAAACTGGCCTTGGAAAATAGAGCAAGTTCCAATGGAGTGAAATGATGGGCCGCCAGGATCTCTGGAATTCGCTCGGGGGGATACAAAAGTATGGGTTCTTTATTATCCTGACCATAGATGCGCCACAAAGCACGGGATCTTGGCACTGCTTGTAAGGCCGCAATGATTTCAGTAGTATCAGTGAACGACATCGTCTTTTCAGGGGCAATCATCCATACTACAAGAAAGAGCAATTGCTGCTTGCTCCCGAACACGCTCCGTCGGATCGATGAGCGAGACCTTCAGCGAGACATGTTTTGGAAATGATTTGAGCCAGCAGGGCGGGAAACGTATACTGAGAGAGGATCTGACATCCAAGTCGCGAAACTACGGGTACTAGCTAGTACGCTGTACCCATCATCACGGATCACTCGCATCTGGATTGATTGAGATGAATGCAGGAATGAATGAATGGAACTACAAGCAATAGAAACAGCCTAAAATACTGAGCAGCCTGGGAATCGTATGCATCCGGAAGGAATCAGTCCATGGAAAGCAGGATGGTTTCAAAGGCTGGATTTCCCCTCTGCGTGAAAAGTTCTCAAGGAGCAAACGTCTCCATGGAAAGCCATGATCCCGAGAATGAAAGGGGTTCTTATACTAGGAGGGAAGTTATCTACGGAAGCCAGTGAGCGCCTGGCTTAGAAGGCAAAGAAGAGGCGAAGAATGAATGAATGAATTTTGAAGCAATAGGCAATGTCATTCGGGCCTGTCCCAGTTGAGAAACAGCTCGCATACTACTATTGAGCAGCGTAAGGTAGGAATGGGATGAATGCGGAGGGACTCCTTGGAAATCAGTCTGCCTGACCTGGATATCGCCTTCACCTGACAAGTCCTCAAGAAGCGATATCGAGGAAGCCAAAGGCATCGGTGATGACGCCAATCTTGACTTGCTTGCTGGGAGTGCGGAACCTACATAACTAGACCCATAATGGGGAGACCGGACAAGTTTGTTTTTGTCGTGCTGTAGTGCTTTCTACATCTGCGTTATTGACTCTATGTTGGGTGTAAAGTGATGATTTCTGATCCTTGGTTTTGGAAGTGTAAGGTATCAACCATCTGATCGGAGGGATTGCATGTCACATATATTCCCAAACCAGTGCCTGCTGCAATCTTTCCTCTTTGGTCTCATCTGATCCTGGGATGATGGAATGGATTTGACTTGACTTGACTATAATGAAGCGGTCTACTTGTCAAACTTACTTCATTTGTTCTTCCTTGGCAGCTCGTTCTTCCTTTTCCTTTTTGATTTCCTTGAGTTTGTCTCCCACCTTGCTAAACAGCTGTCCCATGACATCCGAGGCAAAGTCCTTGGCCTTGCCGGCAATCTCTTGCACACGTTCGTCCTTGGCAAAATCGACAGCCTTGCTGGAGACATCGCCCAAAATGTCCTTGGCTTTGGACAATGTCTCGTCCACAGTGGCGTCAGTGCTAGTAGTAGTAGTAGTAGTCATAGTAGGAACAACGACGGGTTCTTCTTCTACCTCGTCCTCCTTGAAATCCACCAATTCCGCGGCAAATCCTTCGTCGTTGTCGTCGGTGGAGTCCATGAAAATGGCATCTTCCTTATCCATGGAAACGGCTTCCTTTTTTTCTTCTTTGGCTCCATCTTCCACGGCAAACAAAGCCTTACTGCTAGACACAACAGCCGACGAAGAGGGAACGGCAACACCAAATCCGTAGACGGAAGGAACGGCCAACAAAAGTGCAAGGGCGGAGAAGCGGGTCATGGTCGAAATTTTATTTGGTTTCAAAAAGAGAGAAGACTGTAGAATTGGATTCTTTGAGATAATAATGATAATGAGAGCTCCAAAATGCATTTGTGGAAACTTCGATTGTGGTCGGAGTAGTTCTGCCCAACAGTGGAGCTAGATAGCTAGCTACAGTAGTGGCATGCTGGCTAATGTTTTTCTTCTTCGGTGATGGGTCGGTCAGTTTAATAATTTAGTTAGGTTGCTGGTGATGCCATCCATCTGCCAATGACTTGAGAATGGTATCTTTCTCGCGTGTCTCTCATTGGATGTTGCCAGTTGGTCCGGGTGGCTTCGAGGTTGTGATTGGTGTGAAGCAGCTTGTTGGCCAGGCGAAAGACTTCTCTGGCCAAATAAGATACCTTTTGGCAGTATCCACGAATGAACGATCCGTTGACCGTTCTTGGGAGCCCAAGCAAGCAATTTCATCAGCGTGCTGTCGAATGATATCGTTGCCCCCCTCTTGGAGTTTCATGGAAGGTCCTTGTAGCAAAGGAGTCCTGGTCCTAGCTGGCTGGTCCAAACTTGTGTGAGACCATGCGACCCGGGGATGCACCTATAATGGCTGTTGGGCGGGCTGGGAATGGGTCCGAGTGTTGTTCCATTTGCTACCGGTAGCTAGTAGTTCAAGTACGGTCGGGTTTCGGTGATTTTCTTGAAGCGGACCTGAAGTGGACCTGGGGTGCGCTAGTATAAATGGCGTGAAACTCGATAAGGCACCTGTTGCTCGGATGCCCCGCCCCGTGGTAGATAGAGTGGTTCCTGGTGATGGAGCAGGTGTACCGATAAACCCAACAGATACTGGTCTGCCAGCTGGAGCGTGTGATTGCAACGTAGTGATGGTTTCTTCCATCGTATTGAAATGACGCATTAGGGAAAAGCAGAACATATGGATACTGCTTAGTAGTTACTCGTTTCCTGCCCTCCCAAGTTTTCATCCCGTTTCCCCAGTGGAATAAAATGAATGCGAGTTTCGCGCTACATTTCGATGCTGCACGAGTCCTTGGATTTGTTGCTGCACAGGTACCAATGAAGTGTTGCCAGCGGGAAAGGAGTCCATCCGTGACAGTGCTTCCTTCCAGTTGATTGTTGAAATTTTGTTCCTGGAAGGAATTATGAGCGATGCAATACACTGTAGTCACTCAAACGAGTTCGTAGTGACCCGTCCACGTCAAGTCTTGTAGTTTGGACTGCCAAATGGATCCATTGAACTTTTCTTCGCCGTCTCGTATTACTGATTGTTGATGTTCCATTTGTGATGGCTGTTGTTTCCAAAAGCTACTCGTCGAATGAATGAGTATATCCAGAGTGGTGACGGAAGTGTTGGGTATCAGCAATCGTGTAGGATTATTGGCATCGTAGGTGGCCCCCTTTTGTATCAATTCTTGTTTGGTGAACATGTGTGTCAAAATGGCCCGTAAAAAAGCCGAATGAGAGACTACCAAGGTTGACAACACAATATTGTTTTTGGTGGATTGACCTTGTTCTCGGACTGCCTCTCCAGCCACCTCCAAGAGCCAATTTAGGAATCGATTGTACGCATCTCTTTCTGATTCCACTGCAGGAACAGTTTCAGGTAGGAATGTTTCCCCACGGTTTTGGGCCTCGCGCCTTCTTGCTTCCATTGCTTGTTGGTCGTTGAATGATTTGGGGTAGCCTTGGCGAGCTCCTTTGGATAATTCTCGCAACCGGACATCCAAACGAACGTCAGGACAGGAGGATTCAGTATCCGTTGGTGCTGACTTGTATCCTTGCAAAATCAACCTGGTGGTATCTTGGGTCCTTTGCAGATCTGACGCATAAATCCTCCAATACTGACCCAGTAAAAGTCGTCCACTCTTCCCCAATGCCACTGCTTGTCTTTCTCCTTGTTCTGTCAGAGCCTACCAATCAAAAACAACATACAAGGGAGACAAATATATGATGAGCAATTGCAACCATACTGAATATCCTCGCTCTTTTGCTTCGATTTATCACTCACCGATTCAGCTTGTCCCGCCACCAATCCTTCTCTATTTGACACTGTTTCTCCATGACGAACCAGGAAAAGCCTCAGCGTAAATGTATTGCTACCACCATCATTGCTAGCCATTGTCCCCTCTAGCACTAGACACGCCACTACAAACAAAAACAATAGATAACACAATTGTGTGGCAGATACCATGGTGGAGGATTGGTGGATGGTGTCGCTCAATGGAAGTTGTTGTCCAGGCAGATATTAGCCAGCTGAGATGGTTTGTACGGAAGTTTCCATCCAGCCTTGTCCTCCCCCTGAAATCCCAAAGGTACTTGGAAACTGCCTTGACCATACCGGTCTGTACGTGGTAGATATAAATACTAAGTAGATATGTTAAGGAGCGAGGGGGGCTAAGCTAGGCAGAGCATGCAGTGGCTGCGGTGATGGGTCGTACTGGGAGAGCAAAGAGGACTGGAGCAGTACGTGGTAGATTGAACCACGCATTCGATTCGAAGCATAGATCTACGTTTCTGAAGCTTCATGGTACAAAATCAGAGCATTGTAAAACACCAAGATGCCTTGACCTTATCAATCGTCTTCCAGCAAACTGAGTGTGTGTGTTGGTTGGCTTGTTAGATTGGCCCGATAAGGTAGCGCTGACTGAAGTTGCGGTAGAAACGTAGGTTCGCTCAGGGACTGGTTGGAACAAGTCATGGGTAGGACGATGAACTAACAGGCAGGAAGACGTGTGTGTCACTTTCTCTAACGACCATCATCTGGAGGGTCATTAGTGATGCTATTCTACAATACAGGAAATCAGTTTGGCTGTCAATAAATGAAACTTTTATGAGTTTTCTATCTGTTGAGGCGGAGTCTCGCCCCTGCTGGTGCTCAATAATACTGAACCTTGATTAGGATGAGTGCTTCAAGCATTTCAGGTACAAATCTGCACTGCCATCATCTGCATCAGCATAGGTCTCCAAAATGTAAATAATATCTTCTGGATCCAACTGGCTTCTGGATAATGTAGATGATGAGACTGATGATGACATGGCAGAGGATGATGATGATGACGACATGCTTTTGCTGACCCTTTGCTTCCCTGGCTTCTTGTTAGAGCTTCTCTTGGCACGTGGCTGTGGTTGCTTGCAGGGAGCCTCCAAGGCATCAAAGATAAATTGCTGCAGTTGTTCGTCAGAAAAGGTGGACATGGTTGCTGTCTGGTTGGGGTGTTGCTGTGGTTGCTGCCGTTTTTGTTTGTGTTGGGATGGAAATTGTGAGGAGGTCAGAACAGGAGTCACACACAAGCAGAGTTTCATCGGAACATGGTAATGAATCGAACGATTCGAATCGAGTCGGTGACAGTCGGTCGCTGTCTGATCAGCTGTTTTATGAGTACCTGGTACAAGGTGCACTACTAGCTAGCTAGCTACCCACTGGCTACCGGTACCGTAGAGAATACGGCAACTGCTACCGCAAAAACAGGTCACTAGAACCTTACTCTAGACTACAATGTCATGTATTATGTATTATTGTTCGTAGTGAGTCGGCGAAACTAAGTTGCTTAGAGCTACATATTACACTGTCCAAATTGAAGGTGCCACAGAACTTTAAGTTTGAGGAACCAATGAACATCAAAAGGGTAATCGAACAATATTTACTGAGTACAGTACGCTTGTTTCCTTTGAACGAGGGAAAAGAGCGGCAGTGGTCAGCGGTACACGTAGGTACTTTACGGCTTTACGGTGCGAGTATCCATCGAGAAAGACTTACAGTAGATGTGGCGGTCCTACCGGTAGCTGCTACTCAGTGCTCAGTGGCTACAGCCGAGCAGAACCTCGTGAATATCTACTGTGAAATTCGATGCTCTGACATGGCGGCTCGTAAAACGAAGTGAGCCAAGACAGAACATGTCAAGGGGAAACTGCCAAACAAACTGCCTCCTTAGCTATCTCCTTTCGCTTTTGGATGTTTTGAAGGGTGCGGATGTCTAGGAGCAAAGATTGCGCTCTCATACCTGGAGATACCGTACATAAAGAGGGTAGAGATAATCAACCCGGTATGAGACAAGCAGCCTCGCGCCATGGCCGACTGACCAAGAGACATCTCCTACAAAAGGCACGTACTGCCTGTGTACTGAAGTTCTTGGATGTCAATATGTTGGATTAGTTAGTTGGCTTTTATGTATCAGATCTAGTATCAAATTTCTTGTCTTGGCTACCTCTGATGCGCGAGATTCCCAAGTTGTGCAGGCATGGCAGATGGGGCTGATGAATTATGAGGACTGGGGAGCATGCTTCAGGCACTTCAGGTACAGGTCAGCACTGCCATCATCTGCATTGGCATAGGTCTCCAAAATGTAGAGAATGTCATGAGGATCTAACTGGCCTCTGGATGATGTTGATGATGAGACTGATGATACAGATGATGAGACACTCTTATTGCGGGCAGTCCTTTGCTTCCCCTGTCTTTTCTTGTTGCAACAGCTTCGCTTTACTTGCGGCTGTGCCTGTTTGCATGGAGCCTCCAAGGCATCAAAGATGCATTGCTGTAATTGGTCATCAGAGATGGAGGACATGGTTGCTTGCTAGGTGTTGGCTGCTGTTGCAATTGTTTTGGAGGATAGCTTATGAGAATTGTGAGAACTGAACGAAGCCACAATCAATCTGGCTAGCTAGCCAGGGATACGAAAATTTTAAAATGCACACCAATGCATTTTTCTAGAAGAATTGAACCGGTACATGTTGCTCTTGGAGATGAACATGGACATGTACCCACTATCCACTTTCCACCAACTTTATCCACTGTCCGCAGAACCTTTGTAAAAAGACTCTCCAGAGGCAATAAGTAAAGGTGCCATGTGGCGGTGAGCATGTCAGCATCCCGAAACGATTATACGAAGGTCATTCTAAGTTCTAATAAGCGGACAACGACCAAAGCTGTTCTGCCCTCTACTCTGAGTATGATTTAGTTAGATTGTTTCAGTGGCAAGGCAGGTGACGACGCAGAGGGTAGCATAAGTGACCACCCACAAGAGCACTTATTATCCACTGTGCCGCAGGTGGCTCACAGATCCAATGGCAGCATGGCAGCTTTTCTCTAGCTTCTGTACCAACTGCCGGTGCTGTGCTCTGGCACGTCAGAGCTAGCTAGAGGCAGGCAGTAGGCTAGTAGCCCAACTCTGGAAACGTTTGATCTGCATGTGAGTGTGGCTTGGATGGATGTGTGAGGCGATTGAGAAAAAGCTCAGATAGGGCGTCACCGACGGTCATGCGACGACTGGGCAAAAGTAGTATCGTATGCCTGGCAAAGTTGTTCAGAGTTCGGAGATGCCAAGACCAAAACGTGCTTCGTGCTCAACAGATAGAATCTGATGATGATAGAATGGGCAGTTGTCACGAGGCCCATCCTAAGGTTACGGCACCTCTGCAATATTACACAAGGTTGCCCCGGACGCAACTCCCGGTCGGTTGAGCCTTGACTCTCGATTGCTCAAGCGCAAGGACTCCTAAGCAGCAGTACGGTGCAGCCATTGCAAAGCTGCATCTCTTGCTTTGCGGGTAGGCACTGTACCTGGTACCGGTACTAGCTAGTCTTTGATCATTGATGTTGGCCACTGGCGGCATCCTATCCACCGTGGAAATATCCAAGACTTGACCAAACCCCTGAAAATCTCGGAAGTTGCTGGCCACAGACCACAGACAGGCATCGCTTTTGCACTGATAGCAACATGCACTTGCAACCACCAAGTCATTTCGTAATGAGTCAGAGAGTCAGAGCATGGGCAACTTCTGTATCCCTGGAAACTCTGAATAAAAGTAAGTGTTGTGCGGACAATGGCCAGAATAGTTCTGCTCCACATGGATGTTGCCAACCTTTACCGTCTTCAAGAAGATGAACGCTGAAACGACCACGAAGTCAGCCAAGCAGCAACGAAACCATGTCAATCGTCTCGGATAGTCCGAACAGTGAACTGAGTATGAGAAGACGATAGGTGAAACCACTGAGAAGCAGCAAGCCATCAGCGACCAGCAAGGTCAGGGCAAGAGTCATGAACTGGCTTTGGCTGGCAAATAGCAATGAGGAACATCCATTCAGTCAGCAAGCACACTCTTCCAGTATCAGGCACTACCATGGGCATTGCTGGACCAAGATCTGATTGCATAAGCCATCAATGAAATCATACCATTCCAAACCGTACCGACAGACCCGATGTTTTGAGACCAGGAGCCGCGTTTGTACCTGGATTCGATGCACTCCACCAAAGAAGCACTAGCATTGTCCTGGCGGTCATCCATGGAGAAAAAAGACAACTATTCTTCTACTACAGGTACTCTTACCGGAAATACTCCAAACCCGTCCTACGTGCCATCTCAGTCACCCACATCTCCGCCTACTTCCGCACTCCATGTCTCCTGGAAAATCTACCGAAATACACCCGCCAAGGCCTACCGTACAAATCTATGGTACACCCACAACGGCTGATGGCCATGGATTGGGCCTCAAACCATCCACTTTTGGCCAGCTTGCCCTTACGGTGTCAAAGGCAGCTTTTCAGGGGCCTCATTATGCCCATGATGGGCCCAATTGGAGAAGAGGAAGAAGTCCGCGACAACTGGATGGTTTCATGAGGTCGACGAGTGCCTCCATTGCAGAGCAAATTTGCCGATTTTCGAAAACGAATCCTTTGCCGAAGGATACAATTTCTGCCCATGGTGCGTGGAACTCGAACCTGATTTGTGAGTCTTCGACCTGAGAACTTGGGTGCGTTGGGGAGTGGTCCCGCCGTGTCTCCCGAAATGGAGCTCTTGTCATCTCTCTCGGTCATTGCGCTAGCGGAAAACAACGTACAAGGGTACTTGACCAGTTGGTTGCCATCGCAACTCTATCAAATGACACAACCCGTCCTACTTGTTTCTGAGAGGCAATCAACTCTCGGGCCCCATTCCAAATCAGCTGCTCGAAATGATAATATGACTGAACAACTCGTGCTGGGATTCAACAAATTGTTTGGGACCATTGGCGCCATGTCCGACTTGCAGTTCTTGAGGGCGCTTCTTTGGAGGCAATGTGTTTTACGGGCGTTATTCCCCGTGAAGTCGTGCAATTACGTTCCTTGCAAGCGGTGGGACTCACGGGTCTTACTGATCCAATTCCCAGCGAGTTTGGTATCATGTCCGAGCTTCAAGGCATCTAATATATTTGGGCAACAGCCAGCTGTCTGGAAGTATACCATCGGAGTATTTATCCAACTTGAGCTTGGATGTGTTGAGGGCATCTGGGAGCAATGGATTGTCAGAAACCATATGGGAACCACTCTGCAACATTGGTCAGAGCACGTGTGGCTTGGGCTACTGGTGGTTAAAGTTTCGGATGGACACGAGGGAATGTGTGCTTGAGGTTGACTGCACCGATCAGTTGTGCGGATGCGACTGCCCTTGTGCGAATGCTACTAGCAGAGTCGAAAACAGGAACAAACACAGCCAGTGATGAACACTTTGTGACGACGTTTCGATTGAGGGCCAACCCCTTTGCATCGGGTGGCGTGCCTCAAGAGTGAGGATCTTGCATGGTTGCATCCACAAAAACCCTCCTACGGCGGATGTACGACACACCGCTTGGATCATGAGTGAATACGACTACTGCCAGAAAGCGGAGGGGGCAACACCGGGCAGTGTCGGAATGCAATCATTGTCAGCAAGGAAAGAGATTGGCTCTCGATAGTAACTAGCGTGATTGCTCCAGCTACACCGTTTGATTGCTTTGCTTTGGGCTGTCGCCGGTGGAAACGGCGCGAACAGTGGTCTGTCCTCTTTTCAATTAACTATGCATGATCAATACATTATTACAGAAGTCAAGGCAACTTGTCGGAAGCTGGCCACAATCGCTCGCCGGCTGTACCGCTTCCATTCGCGATCGGCTTTCTGGTGTTGCTGATCTCGTGTAGTGATGGCTACAACCCGACGCACTCCATAGTACAACCCCCTTTTTCAATGGTTCTGCATACGCACCGTGTTGCAGAACAGCAATTCATTCTCTGTACAGCAGCTGACTTGATTCATGGAACTACGGTGTAGAGTCAATCTGGAAGGGTTCGTCACAAGATTTTTCTTCCTCCTCCTCCACCTTGCCTGGCCTAACCAAGTCTTCAGGAATAGTAGAAACAGGCTGTATCTGCGAGTGTACCGTGGACGACCCTCGCGATTCCTGCGTCTTGGAAGTCGGCATGCTCCACTTGATACCAGAAACATGAGAAACAGTAGATGGAATTTGACTCTTCTCTTGATTTGCTTGCGATCTAAAATAGATCAAGGCATTCCAGAATCCCTGAAGGGGAAAGAAGATGCCCATGAGGATCAGCAGCTCCAGATGAGTCACACCTTGAGTTGTTTGGATGACCCGCGTCAACTGATTAGCAAGACAATTGGAAATTGGCTTGTGAGAGGACTTTACAGTTGACCGCAACATCAGCAAACAAGGACCTGCAATACCAGCACAGCACCCACCGTAGTGAATATCCATGTCAAGTAGAGCCCGGCAACGTATAGGAATGCTTGCGTTGCCACACGTTGTATGCGCGGGGTGAGGATGATGGACGTGATAGTTTGTATGCTGTGAACGCTGTCTGTTCCATCCTTGTCTTCATCTAGGAAGCCGTTTCCAGTTGGATCGGCGATTCTGGCCCTAATCTTGCTGGCCCTATTCTCAGTGGCCCATACAACCCGAAAGATCGAATACATGGAAATGGTCACCAGAAGAATTGCTCCCCACACAATTCCGTAGTGAATCCAACGAAAAATGCCAGCCAGCTGACCACGAGTGCATTCATCTCCATTGCACCCTTTGGGGTAAGGGGCATACCAGCAGAGCCAGCCAGAGTTGTTGTAGAGATCGAGGGGCAAACCAAGCACCGCCATGATCAGAGCCAGTATCATTGGAACTACATGAAGCCAGACCTCTTGCTTTGGAGGCAGTCGATTTCTCAACCCGGGTGATGATATCTGCCATACATAGTGCAAACTCAAACTGACCGAATAAAGAACCGCCCCAACATTACCGAGTTCATTGAAGAATCCTTGTGCTGTACATGTTTGTGTGTTACCAACAGCCATATGCACACCCGAATCGTCAGGACTTGGCCAGGTGGATAAGACATTGCAGAAACTGCAAATCAAGTCAAAACAACTCAAACCGAGCATGATGCGTTGGAAGGTGTTGGCAGAACCACTGGGTTTCAGGTGGATCTTTTTGACAAGATCATAGACAATACTGATTGATCCCACCAGGGACAGGCCACCAGTACATTTCGGCAAGATCGCCAACACTTTGGATTGCATGGAGGAGACCATGGTTTTCTGTTGTTCTGTGGTACCAGTAGATAGACAGAGAGACAGCGAGACAGCGATGATGTCGTGTGACTAGCTGGCAAGCTCAAGCGATCAATGGACACCCATAGCTAGAGTGGACGAGTGGACTATGTGCGAGAAGGGACTGCGGAAGCTCTATGCAGCAGTGCAGCAGCGCAGGGGCTCGAGCCTGGCGGCAGAGATGGTGGTACCTTTTAAAAGAGCAGCCAAGACCAACCGACAATAACCCAAGGATCAAAGGTTTGCGGTGGCGCGGTGCCGATGAAGCCGAAGAGGTTGCAGTTCGCTTCAGAGAAAACAGCTGGAAGTTCTAAGTGTCTTTCTACAGATATGGTTTAGGAGATTCATTCTGCAAACCTCACCCATTAGGCTACCTGGTACTGTACGACTGTATCACTTGGAGGTTGCCGTACCGGTAGAACTTTCGTACACGTCATTTTCTGCTCCTATTCTATTAATTTTTTACGTAAAAGAGCACACCCGATTTTTAAGCCCACTTTGCTCTACTGACTCGTGACTCTCACTCAACTGAGTGACGAGTCGAGTCGAAGGACTAAACCGGTACATAGGGGACTCACACATGCTCCTGTCGTTGATGCTACTAGTAGAGCTATGATATTCCGTCTCCTGAGACAGCGCTACTTTTGGTTACTGTACCCCCTCAGTAGCACTCCGAAATCGATTCGCCCGCGTTTACTGTGTAAATTAGAGTAGCCACACTTCAGTTGCAGAATCAACGGTCATGTGTATCCATAAGTAACAGGTTCTCGTTCGATAAAAATAGATCGATTCGTGGATAAAGGAACCGTTGAAGTTACTAAGGTTAAGGACTTACGAAAGAATCGCGAATCGAATCTATTACGTATCAAGAGTGTTATTGAAGGTACGGCGCTGACTTCTCTCCCTCATTGAATTTCTATGGCAAACAGGAGAGAATTCCAAGCTCGGCCATCAACAGGTGAGTTGTTTTAATTATTCGAATCAATCGAATCGGTCGCAGCCTCACTCAAGCCGGTCGTCTCCGGTGCAGATTGGAAAACCATCCCTCATTGCATTATATGGACCATGGGATGGCAGTCAGTTCTCGGCCCGTGACGGCCAAGTTGGTGCAATTTGAGAAACAAGGGTATGTCGCCGGTTTTCTTCAGTTGAGCACAGAAAACAAAACTCATATCTATTTGTTGTTTTCTCTGCTGCACTGCTGACAGCCGAGGAACTACCATTGTCGAGGAGTACTTTTCGAATGAATGAATGAATGAATGAATGAATGAATGAATGAATGAATGAATGAATGAATGAATGAATGAATGAATGAATGAAGGAACGAACGAACGAACGAAAGAATGAACGAACGAACGAAGGAACGAACTAACGAACGAACGAAAGAACGCTCAGGATAACAAGAGAGAGGTTCTGTTAACTCCAGCCCTATCACCAACCTGAACGGAGGAGATCGTCGTCGAGTCATTGAATGGCAACAAGAGGAGGAGGCTACACGCACGACAACTCGAAACGCGCAGAGGAGGAGAGTGGATCCTCCTACCGGATTCATCCCTCCTTGATATTTCCTAGTGTTTTGGTGGTCATTCCTGTGTCGGTACCCATTTTCCTGTATGCACAAGTCAAGTAGTGTTGCCACTAGGTATACGGCAGCTAGCTACAATGGCTGGATTGACAATGTTCGGTTGTGCATGTATTTGTCATAAGGATCCAATGCAAGGTACCAGTAATGGAGTGTAGATAGTAAAGCGGAACCTAAGTGTGTTCGGTACTGTTGCCACTATCGCCGATGTAACTGTACCGTAGCGGGCAACAATGGCTGGATTGACAATATTCGGTTTTGTGCATGTATTCGTCATAAGGATCCAATGCGAGGTACCGGTAACCGTAGCGAGCAAAGCCAAACTTTCGGTACTGTTGCCACTGTCGTCGATGTAACTATACCGCAGCCGGCTACAATGCATCTAAGAAGCGCATTTTTAGGTAGTGCTAGAATCGACATGCGTGCAGGTACCAAACGCCAACCAGCACGATCCCGATCCGTGACGTAATTTCTTCCAAGAATGCGTGCAGTGATTGGAATCGGAAAGAGAGAGATGAATGGCTGCCCTGGATCTTTCCTCTTGCTGCCTTCTTGGTGCTTTTGCGGGCCGACCTGTGCATGAGACCAAGCTGATCAGCTCTGGCCCTGATCTTGTCTGTCTAGCACCTATAGGATTGAAAGCAAGGTCCAAACCAAGGGTCTTTCTGCATCAGTTGGTGTGCAGCGTTTGTTCTGTTGCTGTGAGAATGCTGATATCCACAGATTTGAATTTTTTTATTGCAGTAAGGGCATCAAACTTCCTTCTTTGATGATGCCATGGCTGCAAGTCTAGCTAGCCAACACTAGCTAGCTACTACCTTAGCGCGCACTGGCTGGTGTATTTGGATTCTGTGTGCTGGGGAACCGCCGCTTACCAACGGGATTATAGTTTATGGTACCAAAGAAGGGTTTGCCTTCCCGAAAAGACGGTCCAAAAAGTGGATCCCAAATGGTGAAGAGGCAGTCTTGCCGGGCGGGACTTCGTTGCAATGCCATGTGGAACACACAATCCG